CAGCAATACATCATGTCACTTCCACGAAGCTCACGACCACTCGAAATCGTCGATCCACGCGATTTGGAGCGAATGTCGACGACAACGTCGGAAACATCTCAGTCACATGATAATGTGAGCGAGACGACGTGTACATCGAGCTCTGCATCTGATGACGCTGGTCCGGTCGTTGAAGCGCCAATCGATGGACTATCTGCGTTGACGATGTCAGAGAAGAGCGAAACAGAATCGTCTGAGGTGGGTTGGTGTAATTATGGTTAGGACTCCGAGAAGAGAGTTGGATTCTGTGTGACTCATATGCATTAAATGGCGTTTTATAGTGAAGGTCCAGAAATCAATACTTCGTGCACTCTAAAGAACTTTTTAAAAGTTTTATGCTAATAAATCGATTTCAGGTGGAGGTTCGATGCAATGGCATCAACGGCAACGCAAAACGAGATGAATCCATAGAAACATCGGAATTAAGCGAAAAACCGGCTACTCTAGCAGCCATAGTTGCCGGAAAGGTGAATCGTCTCAAATCCCATGAAAGCGCCGACGAACTGGACAAGAAAAATGGGAACATGAAAGGTCGTACCCCGTCTCCAAGTGAAAACAAAACCCCACCGATCAATGCCTCGGCCACCCGACACAATGGAAATGTAGGCCCCACCGGGATGCCACCTCCGTCCCAGTGCCGTGTATTCCATAACCAGCAGTACTACCAGAAACAGGAGCAACGGGCCGGGTCAGCATCGTCGCGCGACGGTCGCGGTGCGGGCAACGCAGCACGACCGCTCGCTGCCGGTGGCAATGGAGCGCCACGCACAAGTCGAAAGCCGGCTCAGCAGTTTCAGCAGGCGTCGCCTCCCACAATAAATGGTCAGTCAACGCAGTCGCGCACATCGAGGAGTGGTGGTCCTGTTCGGAAGAGCTACTCTGGGGTGTACTACAAACGAAGCTCGGGACCTGGTGCTACACGTCGTGACACAACCCCACGTCTAGCATCTGATGACGGTGGTGAGTCCAGTGAACGCGATTCTGTGAAGAATGATGGATATCAGACGGTTCGCGCTAGAAATCGACAGCGTCATAAGTGAATGACGTCATTTTTGAAATTTAGTCAAGTAGCAGTAGTAAAGTAGGAGAAACCACAGTAGTTTGATCAATAGCTCTTCAACGTTGTTACCTGTTCCTTCTTCTTTCTGATTTAAATCAGTCTCACTAAGTAATTGCCCATTTGTTACATTTTTATACCACAGCCATATTTTTCTCCAGAAATAATTGTTTTCTAATTTCGCATACGATTATTGTAATGCGCTACAAATCACAGAAAAAATTATCTGACTGAAATTGCTTCTTGAAAAGGGCCAAAAGTACTACAGTAATCGTATGTTAATATTTCCTGTACTAACCTTGTTATGATGATAAGTTGAGCCAAAATAACGGAATTGCTGGTAGTGGTGTAATTACGGATCGCGCACTTGTCAAGCAATTTTTGCTGGATTGATTTTTAAAATTTTTTATTTTTTCATAAACTAGATTTCTCCTGTTTTCGATGACAGTGAAATTCTGACGTTATTTAATAATCACGCGAGTGCGCTGTAAATGTGATTACGGTAATCTCAGCGCTTTTTGCAATTACACCATAGGCAATTTTATAGAAGGCAGTTGTTTTTTCCTCAAATGTCAGTCATTTACGCCTTTCGCTTGCTTATCCCGAATTTAGTTGCTAGTTGTTATACGTCGACGTTATTACTATTGATTTATCGATTTTATCGAATGCTTCACTTTCAATGGCATGTTGCTTGGTCATAGTTTTCACGATAGCGATTTGCCACTATGTGCCTTTCCTAAACCCGTTGTTTCCGCATATTTTGGCCGCGCAGGAATGCTGTAACCGAAGATCGGTGCAATTTTGCGTTGTGCCTGTGCCGAAATTACAGACATTTTGTTGTTGACGTCACGGAACGCTTTGGGTTCGGCATAGACACGCGCTGCTAGCTTTCATCATCCCAAATTGCTTGTAGTAATTCAGTTCTTCTTGACGTTTCTTAGTATGCTTGTTTGAGAAAACATTTTATATGTTTGTAAATACGCGCTGTTTCTTTGCTAAATGTAATATTTATGAGATTTCTGTCAATTCAACTAACCCCAGGAAAACCCGTATAATAATCGGCCAATTTCGTACGATTCTGCTATGTTTATGTGTGCGTTTTAAGCTTCCACGACATTTTTTTCTCAATGACCGGTTTGTTCTGCTTTCCAGTGTGTTTCTATCCCCCCTAATATCGATCATTATTGATTGATATCATAAAATATGGTGTAAGTGTGCTATTGATCTAATCCCAAGAAATGCCTTTTTGTCTTTGATATATCCCATGAAAATGTGTGTCTTTTTACGATCGTGCTCTCTCCCGTACAAAACAAGGCAAACTGTATCATCTTGTGCAGCGTTCTATGTGACGATTTCGATCGTTAAATTATATATTCGATTGAATGTTATTCGAAGATTGACAAGATCGTAATCATCGCACAGAATAGCTTCTCAGCGTTCTTTATGGGTCAACAGATACTATTGATTGATTAGAAAGTGATTTGTTTTGTTTTCTTAATTCTGCTAGTTGGTACGCATCATTATTATCGGTCGGTTTTATTGATTCCCCATGATTTCTCCATTCATTATATAGTCGTCTATCATCGGTTATTATTGACTTATAATTGTTTGTTGAACTTCTGTTTAATCTCAGCCTGTTCTGTATTTGATATTAGGATTGCTGGATGAAAATACAAAGTTTTGAAGGAGATGAGATTATTAAACTACCTTCCAGCACTCTTGAAAACGAATTTCGCCGATGTTTTAATCATCATCAATATCATCATCATCATCATCATCAACATCTT